ACGACGGTAATAGGAGGCGAATCCTATGAAACTGCGGACTTCAGTGACAGAGGTCGGCGTTGGCCATGAGCTGACGCATTTCGTCTTAGCAGGGTCTGTCGAGATCCCTGAACGGCTAACGATATGGCCCAAATACCTGACCGATTCCCGAAGCAGAAAACATTTAGCCGGTTTAAATTTAAGCTTAGCGGAACGCATCCTGAGAAACACCGCTCTCAGTCGCTGGAGGTGCTCCTCAAAAGTCCGGCTGAAAACGATGATATCATCGAGGTAAATCAAACAGGTGTCCCATTGGAGGCCTGACAAAATCAATTCCATGAGCCTCTGGAACGTGGCAGGAGCGGAATGTAAACCCATGGGCAATCGGTTGAATTCAAATAGGCCTCCCGGTGTCCGGAAAGCGGTTTTTGGTTTCGATTCGTCATCGAGGGGTAATTGCCAAAATCCCGAAAGCAAATCGAGCGTCGAAAAAAACTGTGCTCCCGCCAAGGCATCCAGAGACTCATCCATCCTGGGGAGCGGATACGCATCGGCCATTGAGATTTTGTTTAGGCGGCGGAAATCGACACAGAACCGCAAGGACCCATCCTGTTTTTTAACCAAGACGATAGGAGCACCCCACGGACTGGAAGAGGGCGCAATGATGTCGGCCGCCAACATGTCATTAACTGCCGACTGCACATGCTCCTTCTCGGCTGGACTGAGCCGGAAGGGATTCTGTCGAATAGGGGCCGCGTCCCCAGTAGCTATGTGGTGGCGCAACAGGTCTGTGCAGCCAATATCATACTTGTGCCTGCTAAACACGTCAGCGAACTCGAGTAGCAAGCCCCTCAATGCACCCGACTGCACACTGGACAAGTTACTGGACCCGGCACACAACGAGTCCAACCACTCCGTCCCCTCCTCACTTTGAGGATGCGTATCGGCACTCGAATCGGCGTGAGCAACGAGCTGTTCCTCGACGGGTAGCGGTGCGGCGTGAGCCAGCACCGTTCCCTGCGTGATCACGGCCGGCCGCGACCCCGTATTCAGGACCATAACGAACGGCTCACAGTCCCCCCTCACCATGGTCTGGGCCACCGCTAAGTCGAGGCCCCCTTTAGCTCTGTTAGACGGCCCCAACAGAACTCCCTGTGCCCCCGCATCTGCCCCGAGGGGTTTCCTCAACCGAAGGGGTACCAACATTTGCGAACCCGGGGGCACCCGTACAGTCTGGGTTGCCAGCGCCTGCACCGTCGCACAAACCGTGCGTATCTTAGTAGGACTCTTAAAAAACTCAACCCGCCGTCCCGACGGAAGCTCAATGCAGGCCTGGTCTATGAGAATTTTGATGGGCATTTTAGACAGAAAGTCCGTGCCTAGTAAACAAGGAACGGCCAACGAAGATGATACAAAAATAGGACCCGCCAATTTTATATCGCCAATACAAATAGTCGCCCGAATCTGGCCGATGATTCCCAAAGATCCCCCGTTCGCCACGTAAAACGGTACGTCCACCGGCAGAAGGGGTCGACATTGGACGGGAAGAATGTTATAAATAAGGTCCGAAATGATAGTGGCCGACGCACCCGTGTCCACAAGCACCCGGACCTCAACCCCGTCAATGTACCCCGTTACCACGGACGACCCGGCCGACGCAGCCACTATCCTGTGGGCCAATTCGGACCATTCGACTGCTTTCGGGCCGTGTACGGACCCCTCTCGCCGAACCGAACCCCCGGTGCCCATACGCGGTCCCCCCACCGCTAAGCGGCGACCCGAACGTGCCGTGCATGTGGACCGAACGTGTGAGGTGCCGCGACTTGCCGGGTTCAGCTGGGATGTCTTTAGGCCCTGGTCGTCGTCCGGACGTGGTCCCGCGGTACGCTGACGTGGGGCCCGGCACCCGGACGCGACGTGGCCCCGAAGGCCGCAGTTGTAGCAGACGACGAGGGACGTCGTAGGTTTCGGTTGCTCCAGCTTGCGGTGTGAACGTGTGGGCGAACGACCTCCCGTTCTCCACTCCCCCGGTCTTGAAACGGCGAAGGCCTCCTCCCGCGGCACAGCAGGCTGAGGGCCGATGATCGTGGCGGCCGGTGCCCCGTTCCCCACCGATGCGCAGACGACCGTCGGCTTTCGCTTTAGGACTTCGTAAGCGTGAATACTTGTGGCAATTCCCAGGGAGCAAATGTCCATCTCGTCCGCCGTATTAATGGAAACTCCCAATCCGTGAGCCAACGCCAGCAGCTGCTCCGTCACCATGGCGTCCTTCCCCTCCTTGTCCATGCGGGGAAAAGCTGAGTCTGCCAGGGCGAGCAGCGCCGTGCGATAGGCGAGCGTTGTTTCTCCAACCACCTTCCGCCGATCGTAGAACTGGTGGCGACAGGTCGAGTGTGGCCCGAACACCTTGGCCATCAGGTGTAGCGCGGCCTGGAGCGTTGAGCGGGACGACCTCGGGGCCGATGTGAAGGCTGCAAGCGCGTCGTCGTCGAGCATCGCTGGCAGCGCGCGCAGGGCAGTGGTGTCGGACCACCCCGACATTTCTTGATGCGCGACGAACCGTCGCTGGAAGGCTCCCCAGTCGCCCCCGTCCGCCTTGAACACCGACAGCGCGGGCAATCGTTGCTGGAGGACTCGATCGCCGTCGTCGTCGTTGGAACGATTTTCCCGCGCGCCGCTGTGGTTGTAGAAAATGTCGGCTCCGTCTGCAGGCGCATAATGGAGATCTCCGGCGCGCGCCGATGACGCGGGCTGCGCTGTGTGGAGATCTCTGGCCACGTGGTGTCCGCGCTTCCCGCCAAGCGGTGGCGGGCCCTCAAAAATGGCGCCAACTCCAAAACTTTTGGCGCGAAACGCCTTCTGGCAGGATCCCTCCAGCCGCGCCGCCTCCTCCAACCCCGCAGCCGTCCCTCCGGCCGCTGGAACGGAGATTTCCGCCAAAATCGCAGCGGCGGCGAGCAGCAACTCCGCCAGGCGGGAGTGTGCGTCCTGCAGGCTGGTGTCGGAGGCAAGCGGAGCATCGGCCATTTCCGCGAAGTGCTGTATTGGCGGCAACTCCTCGTCCTCTCCTCCCGAGGTTGGTGTCTCCGGTACGCCGTCGTCTCCCCGATCTTGCACGTGGGTACGCGAAGTCTTCCTTGTGTCCATTCTTCTTGAAGACAGGTTTACTTCTGACGCCAGTTGTAAAGTAGTAACTCGGCGGGAGACGTCTTCACGGGTAGCACACTCTTTTTATTGACACCAAACTGTTACACGGGTGACTAACACTCACCCAGCCCCTTGGGTGACTAACACCCACTCAGCTCCACGGGTGACTAACACCCACTTAGCTACTCGGGTGACTAACACCCACTCAGCTACTCGGGTGACTAACACCCACTCAGCTACACGGGTGACTAACACCCACTTAGCTACTCGGGTGACTAACACCCACTCAGCTACTCGGGTGACTAACACCCACTCAGCTACACGGGTGACTAACACCCACTTAGCTACTCGGGTGACTAACACCCACTCAGCTATACTGACACGGGCTCTTACGCCCCGTAGCCTTCCGGAACACACCCGGCTGGGGTGTCCGTCTCGGCTCTGGGTACCACCGTCCCGACCCACGCGGGCGTCGGACTACGGGTTCCCCAGTCTCGGCTCCGAGCCACACAGGGCCCCGGTCCCGGCAAGGACAGCGGGACTAGGGGTCTCGGGCCACTACCTCCTCCACTCCGTCTTCGGTCTTCAACTGGTTAACACTGACCACGAGTGCTCTCGCGCGTCTCCCTTTATACCCCTCCTGCGGACGTCGCTGAGAGCACCCATCTTATTGACCAATCACTGCGCGCGCTGGCTACGATCCTCTTTTCCCCGATTGTATCAGCGCGCCTCACCACCGGCGTGCGCGTTCATACCACGCCCACATCGCGTGCCCAACCCCGCGCCCCGTGATCCATCACTGTCGGCGCACGTCAACACCACCACTACACATGCATTGAATCACTTGTCACGTTTATTACGTCTGTAAATTATATAGCAAATAATGAGACAAGATAGGTAACAAAATGCATTATTTCATTAAACAGTGCCTTCTAATCGTCAGAGTTTGTTGAATTTCTGGAGGGGTAAATGTTTTCTACATACTTATCAAATATAACTTTATATTCCTACACCTAACCCTCCCAGGGACTGTTTCCAAGGGCCAACCTTATCAGTAAAGAGTGTGCCCCTCACCAGTGCATGGTTGTATGAGACTAAAGTTAACTTCAAATGTGCAACTAGTTTTTATTTGTTGGTGGGGAAGAACCTCTATTTTTGTTTAATTAAATAAATTAATTTTCTTTTATTTCTTTTGTCAAGGCGCCCTTCCCCCCTCCATCCCAGCTTAAATAGCCGCTCCAAGCCTGGAGTGTGTCATTCAGATTCTGTCTACTCGACAGACCTGCTCTCCACCTGAGGACGGCTGCTTGCGTTGTGGCCGAAACGTCGTGAGAATTATTTTATTGTTTTATTTTTATTATTTTATTATTTCCATTCTACGTGACTTTACCGAAAGAACCAAGAAGAAGAAATTAAAATTTATTCTAGATTTGAAGTTTTCGTGACTGCAAGGATACATACTCTTGGTTCTTTCGGTAAAGTCACGTAGGTAAAGAAAAAATAAAATATAAATTAAATCACGACGTTTCGATTGCAACACAAGCAATCATCATCAGGTGTGACAACCACAGCAATAAATTTTTACTGAAGTGGGAGAGAAGCCGAATTAAAATTGCCCCAACTCTGAGGTGACTCAGAGGTGATGGTGCTCAGCTGCCACAACTGAGATCCTGGTTTCGAATTTTTAAGCAGTTCTGTGATATCTCCATCCGCAGATCATTCGCCCACCATGCAGTGATGCACTGCTTCAGATAGCTAAACTTAAGAGAGAAAGACAAGTGCTTAGTATTTTGTGTAGAGGGGGCAGAAGGTTGGCGCTGTACGTGCATACATGCTAATCTTCATGCGTGCACTCGCCTTGCTCTATCGTCCAGGTGTTCACGGTGGACGAGATGATGCCGCATGTGAGCCACCTGCTTGGCGCCCACACCAAGAACCTGTTCCTGCGAGACAAGAAGCGCGGTGGCCTGTGGCTCGTCACCGCCCTGCACGACCGCTCCCTGCCGCTCGGCTCGCTCTCAAAGCGCCTGGGGCTCGGCTCGGGCTCGCTGAGGTTCACCGACGAGCTGGCCATGCGCGAGGCGCTGGGCGTCGGTGCAGGCTGTGCCACCGCGCTGGCGCTGTATCGCGACTCGGCCGATTTCAACGCCCCCGGCGAGCCCGGCAGCCGCCCGAAAGTAACTTTCGTGCTGGACGCCGAGATCGCGTCCGAGCAGGGTCCGTACGAACGAGTTTACTGCCACCCGATGAGCAACGCGGCCACGCTCGGCATGCGGACGCCGGACTTCATGCGCTTCGTGCGAGCGACGGGTCACGAGCCGGTGATTGTCGATTTTTCGGATCTCAAGTGACCGATTGCATATTTGCGTTTTTGTTGTTGTTAAATCACGGTTGCTGAGCCCCAATATGCCAAGCGGTCGGCAAGATAACTTTACTGTTGAGGTTGTTAATAGGTAAAAATTAATGCGTTTCTTGAATTGAGCAAAGCTTGTAAAATGTGGGAAAAGGGACGACGGGAGGGATTTTTTGAGTCGAGCAGTGTTAGGATTGAAACCGAAAGAGGTTTTTGTTTTTACCTTCAGTATGGTGGTTGAACGCAGCTTGCATGAGACTAAACTGTCTGTTTAGTAGACCGAGTCCTCAGCATGGGAGTATAAATTGACACAAAAAGCATAGTTACTTCAGAAGGCAAATTATTGTGAGGGCACCAAAAACTGATTTGATGGAAAAGCCCCAAATCTACCACTACCTGATGAAAGAATTTCACATGGGATTTAAAAAAATATTATGAAAACAATGCAGCTTAGTCAAATGTTTTGGTCATGAAGCCTTTTGGCTAGATTGTAATGTTTTAAGAATTGTAAAACATGATGGCCATTTAATGGTTAAAAAAGTGGTGACGCAATGACTCGATATGATGGTACATGATTAATGTTGTAAAATATTTGTATCATCTAATTTTACAGTATTTTGATGCACTTCAGTGACACCGATTGCTCTATGCAATTTTATAAACAATTTAAAATCCACGTGAATATTTTAGACGTTGATTATGCAGCATGGTAATGGATGCTTTTTTTTATATTGAGAGGTACAAGCTGCATGTATTCAAAAAAGTGCCGACAGAGGGCAGACGTGAGCTTTCTTTTATGCAATTCTTCCTACCAAAATAAAGAGGCTCCCTTAAAAGGCACGTGTCCTTTATAACAGACGTTTTAATATAAAAAGAAAATGATCTTCACTTTTATTAAATCGTTTATTTTCCTACATTTTACTTTTTGTATAATTTGTGGTCGTTTGTTTTTACAAATATGGCCGTAAAAATGTAAAGATAATCGTTTTACCATGGAATGTAAAGCCATATATAATTGTGTAATTGTGATTTTCGTTACCTGTACGTGCGTGGTGACCTTAAAAAATATATAAGCACTCTCTTCAATCACCCCAAGTGTGTGTTGGGCAGTGCACAGCAGGCAGCCAAAACACATCATTCTCACACTGATTGTATCACAATTGGTAGAAATAGTACATCTCGCTCACATCAGTCCAACAATACCAATTTATGACCATGTGCCTGTCACAAAGCAAGCAATCTTATACGGTCTCTGAATCATCATTTTTGCAAACACTGCCCCCCCGCATGCCATCACCTCTCTAGGGACAATAATTCAGGTCACGAGTGATGAGTGAATTCAATGGGAAATATGAAAACATGACAGCAGTGCCATTCCTTAACATCTTTTCTGCAGCTTTGTGTCAGCTGTCTACATAGGACAGCAATAATTAATCATCTTCAACTAAGTTGAATAGCACATGCTATATTAATACAATTACACCATTGCGACAAATATCACCTTTTTACCACTGCTTGGCCAGATACAAGGCGTTATATGTAATACAAAAATAAATTGATAGGCCACTATATCATAAAAAATATATATATATCCTCACCGTAGTGTGTTTAAGTGCCGTACATATTTCACGAATAATTATAATAATTTTCATTGTGAAATGCGACGGCGCAGTTCCATCACCTATGGTGTAAATGCCGCCACGGTTTCAGATCATTGATGACCCCACGTGGTTGTGGATAATTTGCAGGGGGAAGCCTAACATCGACGTTTGGGCGTACTCGTAAACATGCGGGTTGGTACAGCCTCTCCTCGGCAGTTTGACGATTCAACCACATAATAAACGATCTTGTTAAAAAAAAAAACATCAGCAAGCCGGCTGCTGATGTTGGGAGTCCGTGACCACACATACAGATGAGCGAGTGGAAAATCCTCTTTGATGGCATTGATCGTGATGTATAACCAATTGGCTGGAGTTGTGAAGTGGCCAGCGGGGGACCCAGAGTTTTATGGGAGCTGGGTTTTAGGTGCACAAACTGCTGCTCAGGTCCCCCAAAAATAATGATAGACACGGCACTGTGGTGCAGATAGGGGAAAATCACCTGCTCAATCCGTCATGTGCACCAGCCTGCCACCGATTAGAAAAACCCATCAGGGCGCTGTCGTTGTGATGGGCATCAATTTGTACTTTTTATTCTTCATATAAAACCTCTGTCCTCACTCAGGGCAGGCGACGTGCCCTGCCAAGCTGCTATCGCCATGTAAAAACATTTCAGGATTTTTTGTTGAAATTTCTGGTGAAGCACCGGATTTAAAATTTCACTCTAGAAACTAACGTGATTCTGATGGCAAAATTATTGATTCTTGTGGCATGAATTTAAGAAACTTGGACATGCAACCACGTTAGTGCGATCATGCGGTTTATAAAAAATATTCTTGAGGTCATTGGGGTACATGCTTTAATTTCTAAAAGATGACAATGGTTAATTAAAATATTCTGAACTTTTACAATGTTTGGTGAATAGAATAATGAGAACTAAATGTGACGCATCAAAGCTACCGTGAGGTTTTTAAAGGAGTATACCTGGGAAACAGGTGTGTCTTGTTAACACATTTTTAAGCCAGTACCTAATATAGAACTGTTTTACACATTACTGAAACAAAATATATGCATGGCACGTGATTTGGCAGAACAAATGGGCTCGTGTGATTTGCCCTGTAATATTAAAGTATTTTCATATGTTGTCTCCCTTTGTCCTTCCATTTTCTGTACCCTAGAAACTAATTTCTCGCATGCCTCTATTTTAAAGATATAACCAAAATGAGAACTCCTAGATTCGTGCAAACTGACGTGGCAATAATGTAATTGGAGCTCCTCAAAGGCAGTTTGACTTTGCCGAGTCCACAGATACAGGATAATGAACAGTGATATTTGTCATGCTGCACAGTTGCTGGGCTGTGCCAACATAAGCTAAATATCATAAACAAACTTCATTGGTAACAGCATTATAATTCACGTGTCACGCACTGCATAACATTTTAAAATTTTCACTAAAGCCTATAGTGTTTTTTGGAAAATCCATCACTGAATAATCCAGCATCACATTTTCCAAGTGTCTTGTGGTGATTGATAACTTTTCACCTATTGAAATAAAAATGGACTAAATTGGCGAATACTAACATAAAAAATGTGTATATTGATATAACATGTTAACATAATCAACATTTTTTACGGCAAATGCAGTATCCAAATTCCTCGGTGTTTGGGTAGCGAATTGTAAAACTTTCTGCAAACACAAGTCGCGCAAAAAGTTATTGCATATTTTATTGGTCTCAAAGGGGACCATTGCTGAAAGAATATTATATTTCGGCAGTGTGCATGGTAAAAGTAGAGAGGTAGGTTTTTTTTATAAACATAGAGGTTTTTTTGGGGTTAGATTGCATAAATATATAAATGTGTCGATAAAACCCGCCACCACCCGACACAGCCAACTAGTAAGGGTTGTCACGTAAACAGAACGTGCCAATTCGTCACTAGTACAGCACACCGGTGTGTTGGAGAGCCAAGCCACAACATTTACAATCTGGGTACGACGTTTTGCCAGTAATTACAACTAGCTCCGTTAGGCGACAGCCAGATTCGTGGAGAAGTCCACCTGTCTCGTTTTCTATATAGAGGCGTAGATTCGGTGACCACACTTCTGCGGTCTTGCACAAAGGTAGGGGGGATTAATGAGCCAACGCACATTATGCATGCGCATTATGCGAGCCCTTTGATATTGTCCTTCCTGTCCATTGTGTGTATTAAAATAGCCGTACCAACGCTAATCCCTATTGAAGTATGCTGCCCTTTGTAGGCATGCATTTAAAAATGTATTATTTGATGATTCGCTTCCACGCAGCACTAAGTCGGTAGCTATCCGAACGGCTAAAATAATTATTTCTTTCAATTTCGATAATATAATTAGTCTTGGCCAGTAGGAACTAGTTTTGCACAGAACTTCAACTATCAAAATCAATTGAGTGTCCTTGTTGGCACGCGTGTTCTGCTACTACTGACAGTTGTATTTGGGAGTATTTAATATTTCTCTGATGTTCCTTTAGTCTCGTGCTGATCATTCATCCTGTTTGCCCAACATAACATTTTCCACAAGTGCAGTTAATCCTGTACACAGCTTCTGTTGATAGCTTCGGTAACATATATTTGTACAAGATATGAATTTCTGTATTTTATGTAACGTGCCAAATCTGACTCGGATGTTTGTTTTTCCAAACATCTGGCTAGTTTACAGTTATTCCCGCAATGTACGGTATTTTGATCGTTTTAATTACTTGGGCAGTTTCAGTGCTCGTGTTATTTGATTTGGTTTTGGCATCCAATGCCCTGTTGATGTGTGCATCATTGAAACCGTTCATTTGCAGCGCTTCTTTAACATGTTGAATTTCACTTCTCAGACTGTCATCATCTGACACTTAGCTCGATGAATGAGCGTCTTGATAAGAGCAGATTTCTCTGCGGGGTGATGGTGTGACTGCATTCAGATAGGCGTCAGTATGCGTTTGGTAAACACTGTGTGTTATTTTACCATTTAGACCCCGTCCAAGCAGAATATCCAGAAATGGTAGAGTTCTGTCAGCTTCTACTTCCATGGTGAACTGGATGGATGGGTTTTGCGAGTTGGGATGATTTAGAAATTCGTTAAGTGTATCTTTGCCGTGTGGCCAGACCACCAATGTGTCATCCACATATCTAAACCAAGCAGAGGGTTTTAGTGTGTTTGAAGCTATTGCTTTTGTTTGAAAATCTTCCATGTACAAATTCGCTAGCACAGGAGACAAAGGAGAGCCCATTGCTGCTCCTTCCTTTTTTTTTAAATCCTTTATATTAAGTTCGCTTGCTTGCGTGCTTGCTTGCTTGCTTACGACCGTGCAAATCTTTCGGTCGTTTTTTAACCCACTTCCCGTGATCCAATCGAGCTGACATTTTGCACACAGACTCGTTCTGCGAGACAATTAATGTTCGTGAACATTTTTTTCCCAAAAAAATGTCCAAAATTTTACACTGTTTAGGGAAAACAAATTAAATATTTAATTACCAATTGCTTAATACTGGCAGACAATCATCTGACCCATAGGTGGCAGCCATCTCAAGCCAGAGGACGAGAGGACTCTAGCCGCCACGCATATAAAGGATTTATAGTGAAAAACTTTGTTTTTACGGGTTATACTTATTAGAAGTCACCTTTCCACGAGAAATAGGTGTTCTTTAGACAGTGTTCAGCTAGTCTTGGGATATCTTTGGCGAAACCTTTGTTCGTTACCAGTGTCGAGTAGTTAAATTGACTCGTTGACCGGAACCCTCGTGAACAGAGAAGTTACATACAAACTTAAGCTTAATATCTTTAATTATACCATGGGAACCTCATTTGCCAGTAAAAATATGATAATAGTTTTTTTACCCTTCTCTCTGGAAACAAAACTGACACCTTTTTACAAGGAGTCATGTTTGTATAGACCGCAATACCTGCAGTCATAATACAAACAAAAGACATAACTCTGATAATGTGCACTGATTGGTCCAATCAACTTCAAGGGCAGTGCACATTCTCAGAGTTATGTCTTTTGTTTGTATTATGACTGCAGGTTCAATCAACTTCAAGGACAGTGCACATTATCAAAGTTATGTCTTTTGTTTGTATTATGACTGCAGGTATTGCGGTCTATGCAAACATGACTCCTTGTAAAAAGGTGTCAGTTTTGTTGCCAGATAGAAGGGTAAAAAAACAATTATCATCTTTAATTATATTTTTGGTTCTTTCGGTAAAGTCACGTAGAAGGGAAATAATAAAATAATAAAAAGAAAACAAAATTGTCACGACGTTTCAGACCGCATTCCATTCTCGTTCTCTCCCCCTTCCTCTGTTCCGACGGACTTGTCCGTCTGAACAACCGCCAGTTGCTGTCCGTGGTGCTGACGTTAAGAAAAAACCGCCACTTTTTTCAAATTTTCTTGCTGTGGTTTTCACACCTGATGATTGCTTGTGTTGCAATCGAAACGTCGTGAGAATTTTATTGTTTTATTTTTATTACTTTATTATTTCCCTTCTACGTGACTTTACCGAAAAAAACAAGAATATGAATCCCTGCAGTCACGAAAGCTTTAAATAGAAATCTTTAATTATATTTACGAGATGTTCAGTGTTTTTTTTTTATGAACTAAGAGGTTCTACCGATGTCGGTTTGTATTTGTTTCATTACGTATTGTGCTGATTTGTATGTGGCAGAGACTATTGTACTATGGGTCTTAATGGGACATCAGGTTTGTGAATTTTTGCTCGCCCATAAAGGCTTGGTGGTTTTGATGCCCTTGGTTTGATCAGGTATTGCTCTTCCTTGGGAATTGATGGCTTGGGCAATGACTGCCGTTGTTTTACGTTCCAAGATGCTGGTTGGGTCTCGTTTAATTTTAAGGTAGGTACCTTTATCGAGTAAATCTTTGATTTTATTATCGTAGTCCTCACGGGGCATCACAACAGTTTTTATAGTCTATCCTTATGCGTGACTATTGTTTATAAATTGAATTTCATGGCGACTTTGGCACTCATTTGATACTGTGCCCATGTCTGCATGGCTTTTTTGTTTGCCAACAAGTTAGCAATGGTATGCAATCCTGACTCTCTGCCTTATCCAAGAATGCACCTTTGTGTACCGTCAATATACAATAAATATCTATTATTTTGCAACTCGCAGATGGCAGTGAGGCAGTTTTTACGAAACTGTTCTCTCCAATTTATGATTTTGCTTGATTAGCAGGTAAGGTTAGTCCTCGCATAAAGTTCCATTTTGGAACGTAGAAAATGTCTTAACCATTTTTTTTGTGTTTGCCCATCCTAATTATTTTGATACTTGAGTTATAACTGGACTAAGGACAAATATACATCTTTTAATAAATCAGTTGTAGTGTCATGGCGACAATGAAGGATATTTCACAGATGCGTCCAGTGCATCCCAGGTTTCCTGTCGACGACAAAGACATTGCTTAGACAATAACGATAACCGCGACTTTATTTCCACAGTGGTGGCATCGTATTACCTGCATTTATCCATGCATGCATGGCACGGTGCCTCGAGAGAGCTGTTCTTAAGATCACGTGTGCAATGAGATGTATGGTTCCCTAAGATGAATTCAAGTATAAAAAGCACTTGCCATTTGGAGACACAAACAAAGAGGCACTGGAGGTTTGCTGCCCCCACAGGCATTCCCATCGTTTCGTCTCTCCCATTTATCTTCTTTCACCGCTCTCCATCTCTCGTCACAGCTTTTCTGCAAAAAGACCACACGCCAACGCACGCGCAAGACTTATTTTAGCTCGACCGTTTATTATTTGAAAATATCGCTTGGCCTTGATGCTTAACGAAGATAGACTGGCATGGATGACGAGGCAGTCACCCGTGTTATGTGGACACAAAAGTGTTGCCGCGAAATGTTTCTTAAATCTGTTGGTCAGAAATATTTGTAATTTCTTGTTTTATCAAATGAAGTGTTTTTTAAAAAATATATACACATTTACTCGTGAGAATACGTGAACACGTTTGAACAAACACTTTATTGTACAGTATTTCATGGATCTGGACATTTTCCTTTGCTTCAAATGATGACAAACACATCAATCCATGTGACTTTTAAAAGAAGAATGAGAGGAAGTCTCATTTATCATTCTGTATGGACCACTTTGCTTTCATGGCA